TTCAGGGGGCGTCTTAGAACCACTTACCGTGTCTCTAAGAAAAGTTTATCTTGGACTATGTTGTACACTGACTAACTCCTTCCATGCCGATAGGTTATTCTGCGTGTGAACACACACTCTCACAAACCGCAGCATGTGCAGATTAAAGAAGAATGCTGCTTTGGTCAAAATTCCCTCACATATGCTATCACCATCCAATTTCATATGCAAATGAGCTCCTTTAGAGCACACATGCTTAAAGCAGGAAATTGAACAGATCTGGGTTGTCGAGTTTTGGTTTTTTCCTTTCTCTCCTCTTTAAATAGAAAAACGGATGCTTCCTAAGACATACAGGAAAGTGGGGACATTTATATCCTCCATTCTGTGAACTCATAAACATCTGTGTTTGCATCTGGCACTATATGGCCTGAGTATGGTCACCAAAAGTCTTCCCCATACCCTATCTAAAACTGTTCACCAGAAGGAAGAGTATCTCAGAATGTAGCCTGGTGATGGTCACAGAAAAATGTAGGCCAGAGGGTTGGATTTGGTTCTCTCTGAGTCCCACAGAATGGACTGGAAAATTCCGAAGTCCAGGATTTGTCTCTGCGAGTTTTAATTCTTAAACAGCAGAGTTCTGCAATGCCTTCACTGGGGGCAACAGAGAGAAACAGAAATAGCAACATTGTGTTGGCCTCAGTGGGCCACCCTTTCCACACAGCACAAGCAATCTCTCCCACCACGTTTGGGGAAAAGCACAATTTTAGGAAATCCAAACAACCTGTGAACCCTCTGACCTCCAGATGACCTCGTCAGCAACAATGAAGCTTGAAAAGGATTTCAGTTGGAAAAAAAAAAAAAGGAAAAGGAAAAGAAAACATGTGGAAGGGAAGAGTAAAAAAGCTTCCCCATTTCAGGAGACCTGTGATTTTAGATTCCTGCCTTGATGGGCCTGGGCTGGCTCCAAAGCCTAATTGTGGTCCCTAAATGCAGGACATACCATCCACTAGTTGGCACACAGTAGTAACCTAGAACACAATAGCCCTGGATCAAATCCCACCTGCAAGACACAGGGGAGCATCCTTAAGATGTTCTGCTCTGTACTCAACACTGTACGAGTTAATCATGGTGGAGGCCCTGGGCCTTTCTGAGCTTAGACATCTCTGAGATAAAAGGCACAGCCATCTTGTGTATGGATCTCAAGGGTGAAGATTCAGGCAGTTCACACTGTGGGAAGTGCTGATGTACTACAGCCCTCCCTCCACTCTGTGATGACCTGGTGACTGTTCACCTGATTCCATTCATAACAAAATGCACTTGAAACACTTGTACATGCTGTTTTCATATTCAAATTGTGGACACCTGGAAAAGCATGAAGCCTCTGACTTGTTTGTTTGTTAGGCTGGACTCTGCTTCAAACTTTCATCAGAATTTCAAAACCCAAGTGAAGAAAACTGTAATCACCACCTTGAACTATGTGGTTCCTATCCAAATGGAGAAACAAGGGTTTTTTAAAGAAGCCTTTTTACATAGAAGTGATTGGCAATGAGAGAACAAAGAAGACCCTGAGGACCAGTCGCTGATGGTGCTGGAGCCAAGTAGCACAGCAAGAGATGGTGTGGGTCCCTTCAGGCTGCTCTTCTATGGCCTCTCCACCCTCTCACCATGTGTCTAGCTTTTAAGGGACCAGGTGAAAGAGAGTAACCCAGCCTGGGCCAATCAAAGAATAGACCCATCCACAGGGTTCAGTGCTGGGCAAGGACCTCAGAGTCACAATGGCATTCACTCCTCTTACATGGAGCTAAAAGGGAGCCCTGGGCTGATCCATCATCTCTCTACACCTCAAGATACTCACAGATTTCAGTTCTTACAAGATGGCCCCTTGGGCAGACACTTTATATTTTATGATAAAAAGACTCTTTGTAATCTTAGAATTGCAAAACACAGACCTGGATAACATTTTAAATAAGAAACACCATTGAGTTGGGCAGAAGAAGGGAGAATGTATGTTCAGTCATTCCACAGTTAATCAGTGTTTATAGGCTGAGCAGTTTGTCTGCAGTTGTTGGACAGTTTGTGACCAGTGGCCCACCCTGTGAAGTAGAATCATAAAACAATTCTCTCAATCCCCCTTAAATTATACAAATTAAACCAGATGGCTCTTAATGCCTCAGAGGTACCAACAAGACTCATTTTCATGAACTCTGATCTATTGTTCCAGATGTCTTCATCTGTGTGCCAGAGGTGTTCAGGATGGAGCAGCCAAAGGTAGAGATTCCACAACATGTCAGCTCTCTGTCTCCACCACCACTGCACTCAGAGTGGGAAAGCTTCTTCCACTCAGGAAACGGAGTGCTCTCTCCTCTCTCGCTCCTCCTTTCTCATCTCTTTCCCTTTCTTTTTCTCCCTTTCTCTCACTCCGTGTGTGCTAAGCACGTGCTCTGCCACTGAGCTCCATCCCCAGCCTCATTTGTCCCACTTTCTTTGAAACTTTTCAACTTTGCCCCTCCCCCAACAGAAGACACACAGAGACAAAGAGGAGCTGAGGCTTGATTGTTTCTCAAGCCACCTTCCTGTACTTGTGTTTCAAATTACATACTTTCACTCATTCAACAGTCATTTCCAAATGTACTAAGATTTCCAAAATTTCATGGGTTCCAAGAGGACTAAATCCCAAGAGAGAAGGTAGACACTACCATTGTCAAAGAGACACAAGAAATAACTCTGGTTCCGTCACCCTCTTGGATTAGGACTACACAGTCTCTCCTCAAATGCACTGTTCCACAGCCAGAATTGAAGACATGTGTGTGACTCGGGGCTTGTGCAATGTGACTACACTGCATTCTAGCACTCTTCAAGGAAGCATGGCAGAGGAAATTACTTGACCATGAAAAGTGACCTCACTGAAAACAGAGAGAAAATGGGGACGGGTTTATAATAAGGTTTATAATAGGACGTCCAAGTAGGGCTAGGCCTATTGCTCAGCTTTGGGGTATGTGGCTAATAAAAGCAAATGCTGGCCGGCCTGCTGTTTCTAAGTGCCACGGGCCTATGATGTCACAATTCATTATGCTCACAGGGGCTATTTGCCGCCTTATAAACTTGTAGACAAGGAAATTGTTAGTGAAGAAAAGTGGGGAGGGTTCCAAACCTAAAATGCAATCACTCATTCAGCAGTTCCCCCCAAGGACCACCAATCCATTGTTGAGGACGTTTCCAGCCAAAAGCGAAATCCTGTGTCCAGAGTAATAAACCTTCCTGCCCTAGTTCTATTTTGAAAACTTACATTGTGTTGGAGACAGGCCTGGGATAGGGTGAAGAACATTCAGCGTGTCTCTGTTTCTCTATTCTGGCTAAGGTGGGTGGGAGAGATGGAGGAAGAGCTAATCAGAGCCAGAAATCTCCTCATTATTGGTGGCCTTGGTGAAAAGCCACGGGCAACTTTGAGGATGCAGGCTGCTCTTTTCTTTCTAATGCTCTTTATTACATTTTTATTTTATTTTTGGAGGGGACAGAGCACATGTGTCACAACACACATGACGTGGGCGGTCAGAAAACAACTTTCTGGAGTCAGTTCTCGCTTTCCACGGTGGCTTGTCTCTGAAATCGAACCCCAGCAAGTGCCTCTATCTACTGAGCCATCTCACTAGCCCAAGGCCAACTCTTTAAAACTTGGGTTGGACTGGTGATATTAAGTACCACCACACACTAAATGCTATTCAAGACATGAAACCCCAAACTGGGCTTTGCACACTGTAGGCTTTCAAAGTTATTTACCAAATGAGTGAGAGGCAAGAGTTCTATCATCCTTAGACTATGGAACAGAATAGAGGAGACAAATCAGGTATAACCCTTCTGGAAAAAAAAAAAATACATGGATGCCCCACCCATTGCAGGAGCAACCATCTGTCAAGGGCCTTGGTGGGTATCACTAAGCATCAGAAATACTGTGCAGGGGCTGAGGCTAGCTCTGTGGTAAAGTATTCACCTAATGTGCACAAGGCTTATCTTCAACCCCTAGCTCCACAAATGTATGTGTGCACACGCCTGTGTGTGACATAACCATACAGAGTCCATTTACTTGGTAAATAGCATACAGTTATATCTTCTCCTCTACTTTCTTTGAGAAGCTGGTGCCTTATATTCAACATCCAATTTTAGTTCTTTAACTCAAAAAATAAGAAATAAAGGATTTTTAATTTAAGATAGTAAATGGTATCTGAAACTGTCATAAACTCATGTTCAACGTAAGAGTTAATGATGAAATGCTAGGAACAGTCTCATTAAACCAGGGAACCATAAAACATCCACTATCACCAATATCATTTATGCTGTCTAGACATTCTAGCCAATGCAATAAAACATGAAACAAAAAAAAAAGTAAGAGGTACAGTACTTGGCAGCATTTCCCAAGGCTTACCCCTTTAGAACAGTACTATTCTGGAACGCTAAAGAGAAACGGTTTCTTAGCTGTAAGGCATCCCAGAGACTTGAATAGCCTTATATTTGCTGTGATCTTCAAAGAAAGGAAACATTACCAGAAATTTTTCAACTTTTTGATTATTTAATTGATTTAAGTTTTTGCAATTCTCATCTTCTGCTGAACCTGGTAATACCAGCTTCTCAGGAGGCTGAGGCAGGAGGATTGCAAGTTCAAGTCCTGCCTGAACTACAGAGTTACTTCAATGTCAGGTAATTATACTATTTTTGACATTCAGACATTTTAATTCATTTGCTCAATAAGTTTCTCTGTCTTCCATGATCTAAAAACAATTGCTCCAAACAAGGAATTTGGAGTCAAAAAACCTGGGTGTGAATCCAACATTCCTGCTAAGGGACTTTGAGATAATTATTTTGTATTTCTAGAAATCAGTCTTCTCATCTGTGAAATGGAGATTTACTTTACAATGTACTATAAATATTATTAGCTAATGCATGGAAATTGCTTAATGCTGTTTTCTCACTGCTCTAGAGGTGGTGGGACCTGGAAGAAAGGACCTGGTAAATGAGGCAGACTGAAGTCTCATGCAATAGCCAACTTTATTCACAGTATCAGACAATTTATACTCTGAGGGTTGAGAAGAATCAAATGAGTAAAGTTCTTATGAGTTCAAGCCATATATAATCACAAAGACAAGCCACATGTGGCTGTAGCTGAAAGTTTTCCTGTGTCCCACAGCGTTAAGTCCCAAATAAACACATAGAGACTTATATTAATTACAAACTGTTTGGTCTATGGCTCAGGCTCATTGCTAACTAGCTCTTTTATCTTGAATTAATCCATTTCTATTAATCTGTGTATCACCACATGTCTCATGGTTTTACCTGTGTTCCATCACATCTTGCTCCCCCAGCGACCCACAGTGTCTTCCCTGACTCCACTTTTCTTCTCCCTGTATCTTTGTTTGGATTTCCTGCCTGGCTCTAATATGTCCTGCCCTAGGCCAAAGCAGCTTCTTTTTTTTTTTTTTTTTTGGTTTTTCGAGACAGGGTTTCTCTGTGTAGCTTTGCGCCTTTCCTGGGACTCACTTGGTAGCCCGGGCTGGCCTCGAACTCACAGAGATCCGCCTGCCTCTGCCTCCCGAGTGCTGGGATTAAAGGCGTGCGCCACCACCGCCCGGCTTGCAGCTTCTTTATTAACCAATGGTAGCAACACATATTCACAGTATACTCATGGCAAAAAATATATTTTTCCATAGAGACATAAAAACACTTAATTGAATCTGCTACACCTGGGAGGAGCATGAAAACATTCCAAGAACAATTTCATGTTTTGAAAAACTGAGGTCACAAGATTCTTGTCTTATTTTCCTGGTGTTTTCTCACATGCACTCGGAATTCTCCTCATAGGACTCCATTCTTGGACTGCTTCCCAACAGTTGATCATTTTTAAAAATTCAGATTTAACCAATCATGAAATACCACTTTTATTCTGAAATAAGGTTGAAAAAATGTCATAAAATAGGTCCTTCCTTAACCATGGCTGTGAAGCTGTAAACTCATACTACCACCAAAAGAAGTGGTATGACCACTTAATACAAATAAAGCAGAATAATTCCTATCTCCTGTTGCAAAATTTCACTTCTGGGGAAAAAAAGTAAAGACGTTTATTAGAACTGACTTACAGTCATTAGATACTGGACAGAATATGAGCTCCATCAATAGGATCTCAGTGATAACTCAAATTTCTGGTGTTGGGTATGTGTATTTGTGGGCTTTTCCTACTGTGTATGATCTCCTTGCCAACCAGAAGTTGAGATGGGTGTAGGAATAGCTAAGGCAAACTCACTCAGTCACTGATTCCACAGCAGCATGCCGACTTGAGTGAATAAATAATTAGTAGTTTATAAACTAAATTACTGGAGGAGTGGAGAGGTAGCTCTGTGTTTAAGAGCACTTGCTGCTCTTGCAGAGAACCGGAGTTCTGTTTTCATAACCCACACAGCTCACAACTGTCTAGAACTGCAGCTCCAAGCCATTGATGAAATGCTGGGAATATTCTCATTAAACCAGAGGAGACAAGAAAATATTCACTATCTCCAGTATCCTTCACTGCCATCTAGACAACCTAGCTAATGCAGTAAAACAGGAAATGAAAAAGAATAAAACATGATGTGCATGGGCACTGCACTAAGGTGTGCATGCCTATACATAGACACACGTCTATAGGAATGCACATAATTGAAAATAAATATTTTTAAAGTTAAATTTAAGGGACTGAGGGCAGCTTGATCGTAGAGTATATGCTTAGCATGCATAAGGTCCTGAATTTAAATCCCAAAATATCCTGATATGTCTGTGTGTATAACATCAATGGTTTTCTAAATAATAAGTCTCTCTGTCTTATAACTCTTTAAAAAAAAACGCTACTTCTGTAAGTGACTTGATATTGCAGAAGGGAGTCTGCCATTATCTTCATTATCTCCTTCCTTCCTAAGTGTGAAAGGCATTTCTCATGGTCCACACTCATGTTCAGGAAATTTCCTGCATAATGAACTCTATCTCCCAAGGTAGAAATTTAAAATTCCCTTTCCCAGTCCCCAGCATCTGGAGGTTTTACATGCAACCAGACCCTGCCCATCAGACTAAGTCTTGTCAAAAGATGTTTGGCATATTTTGAGCACCATGAGCAACCAGGCAGCACATATGTCACTACAGTTTCCTGTCTGGCCAGGGTGATCTCAGGACATTAGTACAGCATGACATCGTGGTACTGAACAGTGGTGGAAAGATGGACGGCTCTCTGTGTTGTGTGGTACAGTTGGCTGTTTGTTCCTGATGTTGCAGACTCTTCAAAAATTGACTGTTTGGCTCTCTCAAGAATCCAGGAAAATCTGAAGATGTCTTCTTAGTAAGTATCATTTCCACAGAGTCGAAACAGTGAGGGGTCTGTTGCTTCCAATAAGAATTCAAGCTGGGAATATAAATTAGGGGTAAAGAACTTGCCTTAAATTTGAGATGGTTGATTGATCCAGCATCAAACATACACACACACACACACACACACACACACACCACACACACACACACACACACACACACACACACACACACACAGAGAGAGAGAGAGAGAGAGAGAGAGAGAGAGAGAGAGAGAGAGAGAGAGAGATTTACCAGTGTACCTTAGTTTTTGACCATTGGTTTTAAAGCTACAAAGTTCCCTTTAAGTACTATGCTAGGTGGAATTTGAGGTAGTCTCCCAGCATCCACATGGCAGTTCCCCACTGTCTGTAACTCCAATTCCAGGGGTTCTGACACCTTCACAGAGACACACATGCAGGTACACCAATGCACATAAATTAGAAACAAACAAATCATTAAAACATAAATAAACATGTAAATGTACTACATTGTGCTGAGTGCTTGCAATTCATTTGATACTAATTCGTTGAAAATTAATGAGACTTCTTTGTGGCCTATGACATGGTTGATCTCTATGAATAGTCCTTATATGCTCAAAAGAATATTTCTTTTTATTATTATTATTATTATTTTATTAAGAGATTTTCTATTCGTTTCACATATCAACCACAGATTAGCCTGTCCTCCCTCCTCCCATCCCCCAGCCTTCCCCCCAACCCATCCCCCATTCCCACCTCCTCCAAGGCAAGGTCTCCCCTGGGGAGTCAGCAGAGCCTGGTACATTCAGTTGAGGCAGGTTCAAGCCCCTCCTCCCTGCACCAAGGCTGAGCAAAGTGTCTCACCATAGGCACTAGGTTCCAAAAAGCTGACTCATGCACTAAGGACAGGTCCCGGTCTCACTGCCTGGGGGCCCCCTAAACAGTTCAAGCTAAACAACTGTCTCGCTTATCCAGAGGGCCTACTCCAGTACCATGGGGGCTCCTCAGCTATTGGTCCACAGTTCATGTGTTTCCACTAGTTTGGCTAGTTGTCTCTGTACTTTTTCCAATCATGGTCTCGATATCTCTTGCTCATAGAATCCCTCCTCTCTCCTCGATTGGACTCCTGGAGTTTGGCCTTGGATCTCTGCATCTGATTCCATCAGTCAGTAGATGAGGGTTCTATGATGACAATTAGGGTATTCAACCATCCGATCACCAGAGTAGGTCAGCTCTCTCGACCTTTGCCAGTAGTCTATGGTGGGGTCTTCATTGTGGATTCCTGGGGACCTCCCTAGCACTCTACTTTTTCCTATTCCCATGGTGCCTTCATTTATCATGGTATCTCTTTCCTTGTTCTTCCACTCTGTTCCTTATCCAGCTAGGACCTCTCGCTCCCCTAAGCTCTCTTTCCCCCAACCCTTGCCCTCAATTACCCCCCAACCCCAACCCCAGTTTGCTCATGTAGATTTCATCCATTTCTCCCTGGACGATCCCTGTGTCTTTCCTAGGGTCCTCTTTACTACCTAGTCTCCCTGGAGCTGTGAGTTGCAGTCTGGTTATCCTTTGCTTTACATCTAGTATCCACTTATGAATGAGTACATACCATGTTTGTCTTTCTGAGTTTGGGTTACCTCACTCAGGATGATATTTTCTAGTTCCATCCATTTGCCTTCAAATCTCATGATGTCATTATTTTTCTCTGCTGAGTAGTACTCCATTGTGTATATGTACCACATTTTCTTTATCCATTCTTTAGTTGAGGGGCATCTAGGTTGTTTCCAGGTTCTGGCTATTACAAACAATGTTGCTATGAACATAGTTGAGCATGTGTCCTTATGGTATGATTGAGTGCTCCTTGGGTATATGCCCAAGAGTATAGCTGGGTCTTGAGGAAGATTGATTCCCAATTTTCCGAGAAACCACCATACTGATTTCCAAAGTGGCTGTACAAGTTTGCATTCCCATCAGCAGTGTAGGAGTGTTCCCCTTGCTCCACATCTTCTCCAATATAAGCTGTCTCCAGTGTTTTTGATCTTAGCCATTCTGACAGGTGTAAGATGGTATCCCAGAGTTGTTTTGATTTGCATTTCCCTGATGACTAAGGATGTTGAGCAATTCCTTAAATGTCTTTCAGCCATTTGAGTTTCTTCTTTTGAGAATTCTCTGTTTAGCTCTTTAGCCCATTTTTTTAATTGGACTGTTCAGTATTTTGATGTCTAGTTTCTTGAGTTCTTTATATATTCTGGAGATCAGTCCTCTGTCAGATGTGGGGTTGGTGAAGATCTTTTCCCATTCTGTAGGCTGTCGTTTTGTCTTATTGACCATGTCCTTTGCCCTACAAAAGCTTCTCAGTTTCAGGAGGTTCCATTTATTAATTGTTGACCTCAGTGTCTGTGCTACTGGTGTTATATTTAGGAAGTGGTCTCCTGTGCCAGTGCGTTCAATGGTACTTCCTACTTTCTCTTCTATCAGGTTCAGAGTAACTGGATTTATGTTGAGGTCTTTGATCCACTTGGACTTGAGTTTTGTGCATGGTGACAGATATGGATCTATTTGCAGTCTTCTACATGTTGACATCCAGTTATGCCAGCACCATTTGTTGAAGATGTTTCTTTTTTCCATTGTACAGTTTGGGCTCCTTTGTCAAACATTAGGTGTTTATATGTGTGTAGATTAATGTCAGGGTCTTCAGTTCTATTCCATTGGTCCACATGTTGATTTTTATGCCAGTACCAAGCTGTTTTTATTACTGTATCTCTATAGTACTGCTTGAAGTCAGGGATCGTGATGCCTCCAGAGGTTGTTTTATTGTACAGGATTCTTCAAAAGAATATTTCTATTCTATCTTCATTATCAGCGTTTTCCTCATGGGGTTCAGCTGGCAAGCTCCATGCGACACAGAAATCACTGCTTAAAAGCAGGGCATCCTGGCTCTTCCCATCTGCTGCCTTCATCCATAAAGTGAAGCTCTTGACCCTGTCAGGATAAGGAGCACCTCATGGAATTCCAATGGAAAATTCGAGAGTCCCTCTCTCTTGCTCTTACTCCTCTTTGCCCCAAGTTTAGACAGAATCAAGGATATAATATGAGACCAATTTCTGTCATTAAAAGCAAAGAAACCCCATGTCTTTCCATGCTGCTTTCTCAATAGTATCTGTTAATTTATCCTTCCTTATATCTGCTTGTTGTATAGCTACTTCCTCAAAAGTGAAAAATCCCCACTTTAGGGAGGGCCATAAAATCCACAATAAAATTCCAAGACGCATGAGCCTTGATAAACTTACAGGATTGTGCAAGACTGGATAAGCAGTAAACTGTTGCTAGGAGACAGACGATTCTTTACCGGCATTGCTGCCTGAACGTGGTGAAGAGAACTGTAGTGATGCAGCATCCAGGAGTGATCACCCATGCTAGGGCGGCCTTTTCGGGAATGAAGCTGTCCAGTAAACTCACTGGTTTACAAAGCTGGAGTTGGATGGAAATGTCTGTTTGGTCGGCCTTTGCCCTCCCTATCTGATGTGAATAGAAACAGGCTTCCCAGGAAAAGTCATACAGCACTACTGTAGCCATTTCATGGTCAATAAGACTCATTTCTCCATTCTGCGTGTGTAGATGCATGCTTCATTCCCTAAGTAATAAGACCCATAAGTGTGACTTAAAGGAGCTGACCCGTTCCCACCTCCGGAAGGGAGTCCCGAGCTCTGCTCTTGCCCGTGATGGATTAGATGAATTGTAAACTAATTTCCTTTGAACACCAACACTGGTCCAGCACGAACTGCAGCTCAAAACCCTTCCCACACCCTAAAAAGAAGAGGGTCTTCATTCCATTGTCAGGAGACAGAACTTTTTTTTTAATCTATTTAGATGTAAACAGTGAAACACAACTCTCACGATGCTATTGTATTCTTGCAGAGGACCCAGGTTCAATTCCCAACACCTACATGGTGGCTCACAGCTGTCTGCAATCCAGTTCCAGGGAATTCAGCACCTCTTCTGGCCCCCATGGGCATCAGACATGTTTGTGGTGCATAGACTTACATGCTGGCAAAACACACACATATAATAAAACAAATAAATCTTTAAAAGATACTAGATTTTTGGAATAGTTCCTAGACTGAAATGGGTTCTGTGGCCAACAAGGTAGAAAAGAAGAAAGAATGTGGGTCCTTGGTGTCATCGCTGAGCTCCCAGTACAATCTGATCCAGATTCCCTGTGATGCAAGCAGAATCCTTTGAGTTAGTGCTGCTTGAGTGAGGATTTCTATTGTTTGCCACCTAAATCACATCAACAGAGACGTTTTTGGGTTCTGTTTTATTGAGCTGAAATTCAATACACCATTTCAATTTGGGAAGCATGACTCTATAATCTACCTTAAGACCCCAATAAAGCCCCACTTTTTTGTATGACATGGTCTCACTGTGCAGCTCTTGCTGGCCTGGAACTCACTATGTAGACCAGGTTGACCCCAAATTTACAGAGACCTGGCTGCTTCTACCTTCTAAGCTGAAATAGAAGATGTGTACCACCATGGCTGACCTAATATCCCTCTTTAGCCTTATTCCACACTTGCTTTTCTTTATCTCTTTAATCGGAGTTTTGATTCTTTCTGAACCTACTCTAGGCCCTCCCCCAGCATCCCGAGCTCCAGGCCTGGGCGCACACATCAGCACAGTGCTGAACTCAGGCTCTTCATTGTGACAATCCTGAGGCCTGGCCTTCAGATTAAGTAATCAGCAAATTGCATTACATTGTTAAATGAATGATATAAGTACAAAATCTTGAACAAGATTAGAAATATATGTAAAGCATTTTCTAACAATATCAATCTATATCTATCTATCTATCTATATATATAATCTGTGTACAATATAAAAAAATCCAATCCAATGTAAAGTATTTAAAACTAGTAATTGTCTTTTTTTTTAAACAAGAACCTTAAATCTAATCTCTTTGTTTAGCCCTTTTCCTAACCCTTGTTAACAGCAACTTGTAACCAACCCTCCTAAACAATGAAAATTATCCCAGACCCAAAACACATTAAAAGACCAAAAAACCACCTGCCCACACCAC